TTTGGTCTTCATATCAGCCATAGCTGTCTGATAATGGCACGTTAACTCCCATAGAGTGTCATAAGCTACAGTGGTTCTGTCCCTCATCCGGTTGAGTTGATTAACTGTTGGGAAAAACTCTTGATAAGGCACATCTCCCATTGGCAGTCCGGAAACCTTCATCATCTCGTGAAGAGGGAGGCCTAACTCCCCATTCTTAGTGAAGAAAGTGTTAGTGTCTAGATTGTAAGTCTCGAACAAGGAAAACAAGTGGTCAACACTGATGGGTAGCCCGTACATGCTAGCATGAATGGAGATGAACAATCCTTTATCAGCCAGCTCATTTCCCCAACGACTAAGTACGTAACTGGTCATCCTCATCCACCATCTATCCGTAGAAGAGTGGACCCAACCATAGCATCTGAACTTCTTAATTGGGAGCTCTCTTCCCAATCAAGCCAAATGGCTCTTCATTGTATTCTCCCTAAGCATAAGCTCATTCAGAGGCAAATTATCTTAGCCCAATATATCAGGGTGAAGCCCTCTGATAGATTGCATGTCACTCGAGCCTAGGGTCTTAGCGTCCTTACTGATAAACCCATAATAGACACACTTGTGATCCTCAGTCAAGTTCTAGGATATCTCACAAGTTACCGCCAAGTTTCTGAACTATAGAAGAGAGTGTTGATGGAGAATCGACGGTAGATATCTGAATACTGAGCCACACTGGTTCAACCATTAGGCTGGTTCACAAGAAAGATTCTCCTAATCCTCTACGGAGTCTCCAAACAAATATTGTGGCTTCCTCAGGAGCTGAGTGGAAGCTTGGTCCCAAGTTAATGGAGCGTCGGTGATCAACCGACGTAAAGTACGACGATGAGTTCAGGGACGTCCTCCGGACTGTCGAGTTAAATTAGGGGCCATTTTCAACCAAAGGGATCCCTTCATAATAAGCATGCATAGCACTACTCTGACTCGTGACCTCTCTATCAAGGAAGGTCATGGAATGAAAATTGACTAGAAAGAGAACAAAAATATATATTTGTCAGAATCTAGTTAAAAAGATATTTTAAGGCAAAACAAGAGGTGGAATTCATCTCATAAACCCATGAGACAGAGTCACCACCTTGTGATAAGCGAGACGATTTCAATTGTTTCACGCACAAAAGGCAATATACACCATCATGTGCGAACATTACGACGATATATCCGACCTTTTAAAATGCGAAACAATATGAGATAGTCCCTTTTGCCTTTAGATGTATTTTGGCTAAGCAAAACAACATATTTTAGCATCGATCCCCACAAAGGAGGATACAAGCTCTTCCCAAATACCTCTCAAAGGATGGCAAACGAGAACCTACATGCAGAATTCACAAAATACTAACTTTAAATCAATAAAAAGTTGAGAAGATGTACCCCCATATAAAGCTACAGTAGGATTCACTCTATCAGATACATGAGAGGCAGATCTACCCCTCAGAATGCGAGCTCTCTTCGACGACATGATAAAAATCTGATTTTTATCAAAAGTCCTACAAAAGAGATTAGTTCTTTGGATGAGATCTTGGGTAAAGAAGCAAAATGTTCAAAGAATTGCAACCCTTGGGTTTGGTTTTACCTGAAATCAAAGAGAATGAAGAACCCCAGAAGAAGAAGGCTCGGATCTAAGAAAGGAGCCAAAACCCTAGAATCCCCTTTAATGAAATCCAACTAAATCCGAACAAAAAGGAATAAGAATGGGTTAAAGAACACTTGGGAGAAGATTTTAGGAAATTTTAAACTCAAAGAGGCGGCCAAAACATGGATAAAATAGCCCAAGTGTCGGGTTTTAAACCACTCAGCCCCGACTATTCGCCTTCATGCAAGACAGTCGACACTGTCTCGTACGTCCGAGACAATTCAACTATCTCGGACACGCGAGACAACGACCACTGTCTCGGACAAAGGCCCAGTTCGACGGGTCCCCAGACTATGTTCGTGTGGCATCCTCGACCTATTCTAAATATATTTTGACACTCCGATGAGTATACAAGTATAAACTGCATCTCTTTGAATATCCAACGGGTACACGAGGTTAAGCTAATTTTTGAAACTCCTAGGAGTACATGAGTATAAACTGATTCTTCCGCTCCAACACCTTAAGAGCTTAAACTGTGTAGACTCCAGTTATGTATGAGTATAAACTGTGTTCATGTCGCAATGAAGGTCGACGCTAGTCAATGCATCGATAACTTTGCTGAAATAAGGCACAGATTAATTCTGAGATCAAGGATAATCCTTTGAAGTTCAGTCATAATTCAGATATGAATTCCTGACCAAGATGATCAGTTCAACATCAATTGAATGATACGAGCTAATTCAGCAATCAACACAACTGTTTCAGTTCAAGATTTCAATAACGGTCAGACGATAAATATAGTACCAGAAGAATTTTGGCTATTCGATAAAATACCGAATAGACCAAAAGCTGGAGAAGTCAAAGAATTGAAGGTTGGTCATATCATATCCAACGTATTCCAGCTTCCTCTATAAAAGATTGAGGCTAAAACACTTTGGAGGGGGTATCTGTAGGCGTCAAAAATTACCTATAGAGTACTGTACATAGCTCAAAATGGAGAGAATATGATAAGTGGAATTATTTGGATTATAGAGGATCATCCAAAGCTAAAGAATACATAAGAGATGCATCATACAAGTTTCGAGGCACGAAATATGTCTCAGGAACTATAAGAGAACTCATAGTTTCTAAGACAGTAGCGGCTGTCTCGGAAACATGAAGGAAACTCATAGCTTTCGAGACAGTTGCAGTTGTCTTAGAAGCTATGAGGAAGGCTATAGCTTCCGAGATACATGCAACTATCTTGGAAGCTAAGATGAACTAGACGACGATTTTCTTGAGATTTGCGCACTCCACGTGGCTCTATAACTGTTAGAGATCGTGTGTGAACGTGGGGAAGACGTTACAAGAAAAAATTATGTCAATAACTGTCAAAATAATGGTAATAAAACGTGGTTAGAGCAGTTACAAAACAGCCAGAAGCTGACCACGCTTCCAAGATAGTTGTAACTGTCTTGGAAATGGGAGTCCCCCGACGCCACTTCTTTTCATCTACAAACTTCAGTTATAGTTCCTAGGGGCTATAAATATCCTCCTATGACCATTACTCACGAGGGTGGAGCATTATTGAGCAGAATAGAGCAGAGATTTGAGCGTTCTAAGCAAGAGAGAGAGAGGATCTTCATCGTGTGCAAGCCTTTCAGAGCTCTTGCGATTCCTTGAGATCTAAGCTTTGACTTAATCTCGAGAAGAGTGTTTTATCTTACTTTGCTAAGATATTCACTTCTGTTTTTGTTTCTAAAACGAAATATCGACCTTAAGCATTCTTCACAGTTTAACTTGGATCTATGATTCGGTCGTTCATGGGATAACGCACTCTCGGCACAGGCAAAGATCCCACGTAAGTAGCGAATGATAAACGTTCATGCGTGTTTTTTTAGGAAGTTGTTTGTTTGTATCGAAAAGTCTTATAAAAAGATTTGTTTCTCAGAATTCATTGTATTCGATAAACGAGTTGTAACGAGTTTAATAAATAAACTAATTTCCGATGCAAACACAAATGTCGGGGGTGGTAGCGCTAGCGAGCGTGGATACGGGCGGTGAGGTCGAGGGCGTGGGGGTGGAGGTCGGTACTGGGCGTTCGTAGGTGGCGGGCGTGGGCTTGGAGGCGGGCGCGACGTTGGGCGTTGAGGCTTTGAGGCAAGGCGGCGGACGCTTGTACGCCGGGTCGGGACAGAGTGGGAAAGTGAGGAGAAGAGGGAGAGATCTGAGAAGAGATCAGAAGAAGAAGAGAGAAATTTGAGAAGTTCCGTGGGGGAGTGGGGCCTATCCATTTTTTTATTTTATAAAATTATTTTTTATCTTTGATCAATTCATTTGAATGGACGGCGCAGGTTTCTCCACATGGGTGTCACCTTAGATTGCATAAAAGGTGGCACCTTATACACGCTTTCCCCATATTAATACAGTTAATTAACCTATTGATTTAAATCTAACCATTAATATGAATCTAACGGCGTAGAATGATCATCTCACGTTAAGCAAACTATCTCACTATCTCACCATATGGCTTCTATATATGTGTGTGCGCACGCGCGCGCATATATTCGTTGCATCCATTCCTCATGTGCTTCAAGAGAGCCTATGAGTTCAAATGTTGTAGGCGTTGATAAATCCTTTGATTCCTCAATGGTAGCAACAACAGGATCGAATTTGACGGGCTGACTTTTTAGAATTTACTTAACAATCTTTTTTGCTTGAATGGTGTCTCCAAGGCTTCTAATTTAATTGACAATCTCTGCAACTCTGGTGAAAAATTCCCACGTGCCCTTTTGAGTCATTTCGTGACTAATTATCGAAGTTTCTCCACAGTGACTCGAGCTTGATGGAGACTGCCGTTTCAGATCCTTCAAACTCCTTTAGCAGAATGTCCCATGCTTCTTTTTTTTTATAAAAGGATTGAATCAGAAAAGCTCTGATGCCAAAATTGTTAGAGCAGGAAGAAGAATGGATGGGTTAGGATCAGTTTATATTTTGGTCATGAAGGAAACAATTTGAGTGGGTGCTATCTATCACAAGACAACTTTTTATGCAATACATTGGAAGATGAATAGACCCCATGGGCTTGAGACTTGTGGACTGCACACTACGTACTTCGAAAGACTCCAGAAAGACAAATTTCTGTGAAGTACTGAAAGCAAACATCTCCTAGAAAATTACAAATTACTCCTCTCAGAGGCGCCTAATCTATGATCGTTCATGAGACTTTGCAAAGCGGCGGTAGTTTGTAGCAGAAGGCAGAATATATATATAAAAGCAAAAAATGGGTCACGATTCAGGCTTTAATAAGCTTAAATCGCTCGGAGGCGCATTACCATATATAGAGATGTGTTATGATCAGCATATTAGGAGTACGAAATCATTCCCGTACTGCTAATCACAGAGAGAGAAAAAAGCGAACATTTACTTATCTGAAATCCATAAGCACACCCTTAATATTTACCGAATGCACAAGAAATGCATGTTTTTAATCATTACAGGCTCAAAACAACTCCAAAATTTGACTTTCCCCCATCCAAAAGCTAGAACTAATTGCACTTCCAAACAAAAGGTAATTGATTCTGCACTAAGAGCATCCTCGATACATCTCCTCCAGATCAAAACATGGGATACTTCCATTTGCTTGCTCTTCATATCACGTACTTACCTAAGAGATGAACAAAGTTTCAATCTTGCATTATGATATTATCAGAGATGAGAAACATGGGGCGGAGCCAGAACGTTCAACCCCGGATAAAGCACAAACAACACAGAAACAGAACTCTTACTCGAGGCGTGACACAGACTAGTCACTAAAAATGAATAAAGCATAAAATTCTTTAACATATCAGTTGAGTGCTCACCTGAAGAGTACGTGTTACCTCTTTGTGCTTCGAGACGAGCCTTGCAGTGTCTCGCCACCAGCAAATCTCCGTCTCTTTTTCTTGAAGCTTTCCTTCAGCACATTCTAGTGCAGTTTCGAGCTCTGCAATCCTCTCTTGCTGTCTTGTTTCTAAAAGCTCATGCAATCTTCGTTCGAGCTCAAGGGGACAAACCCCATTGTGATCTCTAGTCGCTTCTTGTTTTGGCTCATTGATCGCTTCCACAAAATTTGCACTCGAGCTTTCTGAATGATCGATATTCATGCTTTCCACCTGTCATTATTGACAAATTTTGAGAACATCTTTGGTGTGCTTGGAGTTTATTATGAACTCAATGGTTTATATTTAAGGCCACTTAATTTGGAATTCAAACTTTACTCCAAAACAAAAATTGGAATTTAAAGTGCAAGAATTGATATGACATATAAATACTCATATATTTTGAAGTTTGTTGATTGTTCATACGAAATCAACAAAATAATAATAATAATAATAATAATAATGGTTTCTATAGAAACATATATTTAACAGAGTCAAGTATTTATGTAATGTGTGATACCATAACAGAGAGACGTAAATCCCTTTAAAAGAAAATCTCACTTAATTTGACTATTTTTTTTTCAAACTACGAAGTTAAAATCCAGACTCCTCAACATCATATTTATTGGTATACGGAGTCCAGTGATCATAGGTCATTTTCCTCATAGGACTTCATAAGAGAATTCTATACATCCAGAACAACTGATGGTGTTAATTTC